AGCTTGCTTACAGGAGATAGAAAGTGCACTGGTTAATTACAATGGCCATGGCTGGCATATGATTTAGGAAAAAGCAAGGTCAGGGTCAATTATGCTACAAAGGACCTTCTTCCACATTATGAAAAGACGTAAAAAGCTGTAGAAAGGCAAGGGTATCAGATAATATCTCATAACTAACATGTATTGAGCATTAACTTTCTATGTGTCAGGCATTCTTCTAAGGGCTTTACCTGAGCTAACTCATTTAGTTCTCACAACAACTCTGAGGAAGACACTATTATGGCCTCCATTTTACAGATGAGGAAACCGAAGTACAGAGAGAGAACTTACCCAGAGTCACACAGCTAGTAAGTAGGATGACCACGTTTGAACCCAGACAATGTTTAACTCCAGAACCTTCAGTTTTAACCACTTCACTCTACTGCCTTTTGGGAAAAGGACTTATAGAATGTTCCTTTGCTCCAAAATATTTCTGTTAAAATTCTACCATTAATAGAAGTGTTATAGAATTTTACAGCTGGAAGGGACCTCAGTGTTCATTTGATTCAATTCTTATCCAAAGGGACAACATCCTGGACAACTCGACTTGAACACCTCTAGTGACAGGGAACTCATTACGGCCAGAAGCAGTCACCAGCTGACAACTCGAATTGCTAACAAAAACATTCAAATGTTGATTACCTTCCATGTGCCATACTTTGCTAGAGCATGGGAGAGAAATTCTTCAATATGTTGAATCTGAATCTGCCTCCCTACAACTTCTTCCCACTGGGTCTGTGTTCTGCTCTTTGGAACAACACAAATTGTGTCTGTGGTTCCCTGCAATTCATGACAGCCCCACATATATTTGAAGACAGCTACAAAGTTCTCCTTGGAAGTTCTTTTTCCCTGTTTATTCAATCTCTTCTCATATCACCTTCCCTAGGTGAGATTCATTTTTCTTATTAACAAGCTTCTGTTTTAAAATGCAAATGTGGGAGGGAAGCACATTAAGCTTAATCTGATGCTTCCCTTCCATCAAACTGGAGGGAAAGGGAGTTTCGATTTGGGGAAAAGAGTGGGGAGGGTACTCAGAACAGAGGCAATCAGAAGCATGGTCCAAGTGCTGGCCCAGGCTTGGAGAGGGTGTTGATGCAGGCTCTTTGGGTAGGCAAAAAGCAGCTCAGGGATCCTGAGCTCCTGAGAGTAAGGAAGAAGATATGTCAAGAGTTAAAAAATAGCAGTAATGATGAACATCTGTTGGGCACTGACTATATGCGTGCTGGGCAGTTTGTCTAAACTGCCTCACTTAATCCTCACCACAGTGATACTAGGTAGATACCGTGATTATCCAGGTTACAGATGGAGTAAACCGAGGGCTAGAGAATTCCTGACTCATCTAGAAAATGGCAGTCAGGTTTTGAAGCCAGCAGCCTAGGCTTTTCTTACTCATCTCGCTAAAAGGAAAATGAAAACCTAACTTGGTCCTCTTACCCTAGAGCCGAATAGTAATTATCCAAATGGAACCTAGATACCCCAGACTTCTCCAGCCCTTGGGAGTCCTGCAATAGCCAAATAATAACCCTGCAAAGTCCACTCTTCTACCAGGTTTCTGCCCCTAAGTATTTGAGTCCCAAAGGAATGTTCCATGCTCCACCAGTCTGTCTTAGATGTTTTTGGCTGTCTCAATCAGCCTGCCTCTCCATTCCTGCCACGCGGAAATTCTTGCACTGCTGAGCCTCACGGCACAGTTAAAGACCAGACTAAAATGTTTAATGAGACTTTTTCCCAGGGTCCCCTATTGAGCAAATCTCACTTGCAACTTCCGGCCAGGCTGTAGGGATCATTTTACCACCGCCCCCACACAGTCTGCTAGCAGTCCTTGTGAGCCCACCACCTCCTACAAGAGTCAGTCTCAACAACTATGACACTTCCAGGAGGTAACACTCTATTTGCAGAGATGCAGTGCACTCAAGGGGAAGTTATATGAGCAGATTAGCACCTCAAGTCTCTCCATTTCTGGATAGGGTCTTGGCTTTACCATTGCATAACCAAAGGGCCCATTAATTGAGGCCCTCAATGGTGCCCTCATCCTCTACAGAAACTGAAAACTGTATAGCAAGTCTCAGCCAGGGCCTCATTACACAAACACATAATCACACTTAAGATATTACTTTTTTTTCAATATAAACTAATAACTTCTAAAGAGGATGCATTTGGGACAAACAAAGGCATTTTCTCACTTCTCTAGAATCTAGAATCATACAGTGGGAGGATCTTGCCTTAACTCTTACAAGCACAGTGTTTTAAGTCTCATTTTTTCATCTGAGTCCTCCTTCTGAATGATGATAATTATAACTGAGAATTATTTTTACTATAAGAATCTGTGGAAATCTCTAAAGATCCAATACTGTTGGGTTTGAAACCATAAATTGACAATTTTAAAGGTATTGAAAACTGGCTCTAATGGTTACTGTTATTTTAAAAACACATCCACAACTTTGAACTTGTATGAGTGCAACTTTGACACTGATGAACATTTCCAGCCTCTTCCTGGCAGGGGTGAGCTGGAGAATGAAAGAACCCAGACACCAGAGGGACCTGTGAGAGGGGAAATGAAGGTGCGGTTTCATTGCCTGGCTTCAAAGGCTGGAGGCAATCAAGAGCCTAACCCATCTCTCTCCAGCTAGGCCAACTTTCTGTAAAGACAGAAAAACCCCCAACAGCTGAAGTCAAATTTCCCCTGCATGATTTTTAATTTAACAGTGTCCCAGTTTCCAAGCTATCTTCATCTGATCTTTGTAGTCACACCGATGAATAAGCACAGTCAGGGTCAGGGAATGGCTACTGTGGCACAGCTCAGGCTCCCCAGCTCGGGGCCAATTTCTCATTCTTTTCACTGAAGTTCCAGCTCCTTGATGAACTTGTGTTTACTCATTCTATTACTATTAAGGACAGAAATGAATAGACTAGAGAAAGGATTTTTTTCCTCCTAATGAATCATTCAGTAAATAGAATTGAATACCCTCCAATCTTGATGGCTGGTTGCATATATGAGCTCTGCTGTGTAAAATCAGCTAGTTCACATTTTCATTGTTCTCAGATCCTCTTGATAACAGATCTCCTTCCCAGTGTGCCCAGCCAAGGGCATAAGCCCAGCAACTTCTCTCTGCTGCTTCATACACACACTGCATCAGACATACACATTCCACCTATTTGCATCGATAAAAGACTGTTCCATTGGGGGACAGGGGTGTTAACTGAGACAATAAAATCACTATAGAAAATTTCTAGACAGACTCAGATTCTAGACTTTGACTTAGAGGAGCTGCAACCTTATGCTAAGTTTATGAAAATTGTAAATATAGATTGAGAGCTAAATTTCTCTTTTAAACAAAATGGTTCCTTCTGAAATCCAGAGTGACTAATTACTCCACGGAATCAGTTTGCTTTGAGAGTCAAAGACTCCTAGAGTCTTTGTAAAGCTCCTTTGTGTTCTGACACTGGTAGTGAAGGTACGCTCGCTACCTTACAAGGCAGCCCATTTCAAAATTTTGACAGCCTGGAATTAGAAAGTTCCTCCTTATCCTGAGCCAAATTGACCTCCTGTAGCTTTCACCAATTTGGTCTTAGATCTACCCTCTAGAGAGACAAAAAATAAACCTAATCCCTCTACTAGACAGCTAATCTCTTTATATGATTCTCTTAAAAGAAATTGTGGTGACTCAGGCTACAATTCTATCAAGGATATAATAAACCCAATACTTTTCCCCTCCTTCCCCTTTCAGTGGCAGAGCAAGCTTATGTGAGTATACTTAACATGCTGGAAGAAGAGAAAATGCTCCTCCCTGGCAGGCCCTGGTGCTACAGCCCAGTTCAAGACCCCAGTTTGTAGGCTGCCTATGTGCAGTCAGAAATGGATGAGATTCTGGCAAAGGGTGGTGCTGGACAGGCAAGCTCCCTCAGATTTTCCTCTCTGTTACAGTAACACACAGCCTTCTGCTGACTTAAGTGCATGTCTGGCTCCAGAGATTCTCTTCTTAGTCTGGGTCAGAGGTCCGGGTTCTCAATCTTTTGTGTGCATTAGAATCCAGGGAGCTTTCCACAGGGCCCCACCTTTGAGATTTTGATTTAATAGAAATGAGGCTGGCCCAGAAATATGTATTTTAACAAGCACTCCAGGTGTGATGTTCTTACTACACTTGCAGAAACACTGATCTAAGTGAAGAAGAAAAGACGAGCAAAAAAAATACCTTGCATTTTGGTTTATTTAACCAGAAAGCATACACACTTAACATTTAACATATTGGTTCTATACGTTTAAGTTAAATTATTAAATTCCATGTTATATAAATGACAAAAATAACACTTTAGTCATTTACTATTCATTCGATACTAATCATTAAAGCTATCAGAATTCTTCCAGAATAAGGAGGGGACTAGTAACATCATCTTCAGGTTACAGACTGATAAACTGAAATGCTTGGTGGGAAGCATTCAACATGGGCCTTAAGACAGGTGCCAGGCTCCTGCACTGCAGCCTATTTCCTAGTCTCGGGTTGGCCAACATGAACAGGGCCTAGGGCCAGATGTGAGGAACTTGACAGGGAGAGTACGTTTTGGTCTAACACTTAGCTGATCAACCTTGTGATTGAAGTTAACACAAAAATCACACCTGGATAAGCACCACCACACACATCCTATGCAATTCTGTGGGAATTCCAATAAAGCTATAGAGGGATTCCAGTACACAGGTTACAACAAGTTAAAACATTTCACAGTAGTCTAAATACCTGGGGAGTTTAATTATGCAAAGAAAACCCTCTCTCCTTTGAGAACAACAGCTTATTTCTTTTCAAAATAGCTACTGTGGTTCTTTTACAAATATAAAGGATGTCTCATCTCTAATTCAGCCTTGAAGTAATGCTATCCCAAGGCAGCCCTGGTGACATTTTTTCTTTGTGGCAAAGTGAACACAAGTCCTACTGGGTAATTTAGCACTTAGTAAATTGACTAAAAAAGTTGAGCAACAAATTTAGTAAAAGGTTTTGGTGATAGAAACTTACTTTCCTACTAAGACGCTTCATGCATGTTTGTTGCAAAATAAAATTATTTTAGCATAAATGTAATGAAGGGATCTAACTTTCATTTTCTGTCAGGGATGAAGACTTTCACTGGTTCGCTGACCTTCCTCTTCTTCCTGGAGCTCTCAGAACTTTGCTGACTGCACACAAAATTCATTCTTTGAATCTGTGAGAATCACCAGAGAGAGGCACAATTCAGCAGGGATTTTGACATCTGCACAAGGCATATACAAGACACGTAGGCCAAGCGTTAATCCCACCAGCTGTATAACGGATCCAAACCTGCTTTCCTATGGGCGGTTTGGCCCTGCACAGAGGCCCTGCTGCCAGTATCAGAGGCTGGTATTCCAAGTTTCAGGAGCTGATGTCCTCTGAGGGCAGCCAGTTTCAGGGACATTTTTTTGGCTCTCTTTAGTGAATTTAGCACATCCAACTTTTGAGGGAAGAGTTATCAAGGTGTGGGGCCAACAAGGAGCAATTAGGGGTCAGGAGAGATCTAGGCACTAATGGCTTTAGAGGCAAATAGAATTTAAGTCCCAATTTGAATTAGCAGAAACATATAGCCTTATCTTTTCCATCATGGGTTCAAATTAATGAATTAGGAAGGACCATGGTCCTTCTTTCTGCTTGAAGAGAAGTAGATTTTATTGATTAAAGGGAAGTTGATTAGTGAATCATCATATAGATGTATTTCTCCATTAGGCTCAGCTTTGGCAAAGATTTTAGAACTTCTTTTTGCTTAAGTGAGTGAACAACTAGATGTATTATAATCTTTCAGACAATCCCTAATGCTTGGAATTCCAAGAAACACATAGAGGACATTTTTATATTTTCCAGCCACTAGATGGGAGGAAAGGTTTTTCTATGTCCTCTGTTCTTTCTTTGGTAGGAAAATGGACTAAGATATATATGTTTAAGCAAGACTTGTCAGAATATCTAGTAGAGGTTCCAACATTATCCTTTTATATTTTGTTATAGATACAGATTATTAGCTATTATCTATTATTAGATAATATCATATCAATAATCTATTATTATTGATATGATATTACTTGAAAACAGTGGGAAAGTCAATAAAGCATTTAATTACCATTTCAAACCAAAGACTGGATCTGCAAATGGTTAATGTAATCACTAATTTTTTTTAGTTTTAGAAACCAGGTGAATTCCTGATCTCAGAAACCATAAATTCCCTTTGGCTTAAACTAAGAAACTAACTATACAGAACAGTAAAACTGTGAGAAAATAAATGGAGCTGTTCATCAAATAACTGGTTTGCTTAGATATGTAAAAGTTTGAAATGGTCTGCTCTAAAGGAAAGGAAACAGCAACATAAAAACCCAAAGCACAAAAACCAACTTCTTTATCTAGGAGATGAATTTGTTAAATTATGGCTGTAAGAAAAAGTACTTGGTAAAATCCAGCTTTTCTAGAAATGTTGCTTGGGCATGCTTTCCATTCAGACAAACTTATCCTCACTTCTATCAAGTCTGGATACATTGAGAAGAAGAGAAAAGGGATGTACAAATCCTCAAATGACAAGTTGGCCTGATGGTTTAATAGTTTTGTTCTCTTTTTCTTCTTTGCTCAAGTAAATCAGAGTCTTCTTACAAGTTAGAACTGTAATTTTATTATAGTAAGTTAATCAAAACATCTTTAATAATGTATACAATCTGAAGGAAACCAGTGAGGCCTGGGAACTCTCAATGGTTTATAGAAAACTAGTGGGTTCAAATGATCAGTTAGGGGACAATTCCTAACATAGATGAATAATCTATATGAACTATATAAACCAACAAATTTACCCATACAAAGGAACATTTGAGAAACATTTTTCAGGTGTATTCCAACTGGCTGAGTTTGCATATTTGATGCTAAAGCCAACCAGGCAAGCAAAGGGCCAGCAATCAGGCAGGCTAGACAATTATCTGGATGATTTGAGCAACATCGAATGATCATCAAATGATTTCGAATGCATGTCTTATTATATTTTAAACAGATAGTTTTTAAAATGTTTCTTGAATACAGCCTAACAAGAGGCTACTATGATCCACTTACCAACAGAGCCTCAGGAGTAGAGTATCTACATATATGTCTGAAAAAAGCCCGGAAGATATGCTTTCTTCTGGATGATATTTCCCCCCTTCCCATTTTTGGTGTGGTAACATATTCTCCATTTGAGAAGCCAAAGAGCAGGTTTTGCCTTAAGCACAGATAGGATAGCTAGCTGACTTGGTAGCAGTATCTGAACAGCACTGGAAGGGGTCCCTTCTTCTAAACTACTCCATTTATCATTAATTTATTTATTTGTTCATTAAAAAAAAAATTGTTACTTGAATGTTCTCCCAGAGTTCTGTCTTTGGCCATCTTTTCTCCTTATTCTCCACACTCCCTCTGAGTGATCTCATCCACTCCTAGAAATCAGTAACCATTTATAAGCAAAGACCTCCACATTGATGTATTCAGCCTAGATCTTCCTTTTGAACTCCAATTCCATGTGTGTAATCAACCACCTACTAAAAGTTTCCACATGGATGTCCAAAAAATCTCAAAATGAAATGTGTCCAGAATTAGAATTTATCATCTGCCTCTCTAAGGCTGCTCTCAATCTTTGTTCTCACTCTCTGTGATCCCCCTGGAGGTGTTCAAGTTAAAAACCTGGGAGTCATCCATGGCTACTCCATCATTCTCACCCTAACATCTAACTAATCATTCATTTCTGCTGATCTTTACTTCCTTAATATCTCTCAAATCCATCCACTTTTCTCTAATGCCATTGTCTCTACTTTAGCCCAGGCCAACATCATCTCTCCCAATTACTGGGTCTCGAACTCCCACTATTACTGCTTCTCCAATCTATTCTCCACTCTGGAGCGTAAGTAGTCTTATGTGTAAATCTGACCACATCACTCTTCTGATTCATCATCTATCCATTAATGACTTCCCATTGTCCTCAGGATAAAGGCCAGGCTCTTTATGGCCCTGGCCCATCTCTGCAGCTTCATCTTGCCTCAGACTTACTTAGCCGCTTGCAAGTCTCCAAATGGACCCTGCTTGCTCCCCTCTGGACTTTGCCTTCAATGCCCACTCCCATGCTCTGCTCCTCCCTTCATCACCAGGCCCAGGGTCAGCCCTGGAGTTTCCTCTGCATACTGGCCTTCTCTAACATCCCTAGGGCTGTGTTCCATTCTTACACCTTTTGTAGCATTTACTACATTGTATTATCAGGCCTACTTACAAGTCTTCTCATCTAGAGTATAAACTGCTTGAGGTTAGTGACAATATCATAGTCATCTTTGTATTCCCAGTTCCTGGCATCTGTTAGGTGCTCTTAAATTATTGGCTGAATGAATGAATACATTTTGAAATTGATTTTAAGCCAGGCACTGCTCTGGGCACTAGTACCGTATCTCTAGTAATATAAAGATGAATAAGACACAGTCGTTTTCAAGGATTGAGTTTTGTAAGGGAGAGGTATTAAGCACATGATTACAATATAATGCAATACAATGGACATTCATTCAACAGCCACAATAGACATTCATTCATTCAGCAATTATTTATTGAGTGGCAGCTCTATGCATGGTACTGTTCTAGGTGCTTGGGACACATTAATGAACAAAGGAGATAAGAATCCTGCCCTGTAGATCTTATAATCTGGCCATGTTACTTTTTGGCTTAATAATATCCAATGGCGTCTCACTGCTTTTAGGAAAAAGTCCACAGTCTCTGCCTTGGCTTTGCATGCACCATCAGTGGTTCTTTACATTTCTAGGGAGGGAGAAGGGTCACAGATTAGCTGTAAGACCCTGAAAGCTATGAAAGCTATGCACTCTCTCCTCAGAAAAATGCTCACACTTCCACTCACACACTCATCCACTGTGGCAGGCCATTTGAGGAGGCTCCTAGACCCCCTGAGTGCCTCCCAATACAATCAGTACCCCACAAGCCCCGTCTGTGCCCAGCAGCACCAGCCTCATCTCCTCTACTTTACTCTCACTCTCTGCCCTCTCAGTTTTCCCATACCTTGCTTCTTCCTGATTCTGGACCTTTGCACACGATATTCCTTCTGCCTAAAATGCTTTTTCCCCTCCACCAATCCTCTCTTGATCTAGTTAATTCCTACTCATTCTTCAGACCTCAGATGAAAAATTATTTCCTCAAAGAAATATTCCCTACTCCTATTCCAATTAAGTTAGGGCCCCCAATCACATGTGCTTAATGGAGTTCCAGGAGATCAGGAACATGTTTGTCCTGGTTGCAACTTGCACACAGTAGGGTCTCAATAAATATTTTTTCATGAATAAATGAATGATTCTTCAAAGAGCACTCTGCCTGCAGTGTAGAAATGTATTGGAGGCATCAAGTGGATGCAGGGTGATGAGTCACGCTATTGCAGCAGTCAGGTGATAACTTGAGTGGCAGTGCGGACGGAGAGAAGTTAACAGTGAGAGAAATATTTAGAAGGTGGAGTCAGAAGGATGGGCAATTGGATATGATGATAAAGGAGAGGTAGGTAGGTCAATAATAACTCCCAGTTTCTGGTTTAGCTAACTTCATGGATGAAGGTACTATTCTCTCAGGTAGAGAACAATTGGAGTTTTGAACCTGCTGAGAACCTGCGAAAACCCCAAGTGGACATATTGAACAGGCAGCTGTATATGGAAGTCTGGAGCTCAGGAGAGAGGTCTGGTTGGAGATATAAACTTGAGAGTCATCAGCATGTGGAGGTTAATTAATGCCATGGGTGTGGAAGAGTTTGCTTATTGAGCGATCAGAGCGTGAGAAGGGAAAGGGGCCAGGACATAGCCTTAAGGAACTCCAACATTTTAGAGATTAGGTGAAAGATGAGCCAACAAAGGAGATTGAGAAAGAGAGAGAAAAGAAGAGGGAATTTTAAGTAATATATTTTAAGAATATTAAGAAGAGGGGGCGGGGGGGGTGATGGCCGTGGTCAATAGAGTCAGGTGTTGCTGAGAGGTCAAGGAAGATGAGGACTGAACCACTTGATTTAGCCACATGGAGGTTACTAGGTGCGTTGGATTGGTGGGGGAAGAAATCACCTTGAAGTCAGTTGCAGAGTACATTAAAAAAAAAAAATTGAGACAGCAAGTATACAAAGTTTAATAAAAGTCAAGAGGGAGTGACCACCTCTGCCTGGGGAAT